ACATGTTAGATACAGACATGTTAGATACAGACATATTAGATACAGGCAATTTAGATACTGACTTGTTAGATACAGATGTTTTAGATACAGACATGTTAGATACAGACATGTTAGGTACAGACATATTAGATACAGGCAATTTAGATACAGACATGTTAGATACAGATGTTTTAGATACAGACATGTTAGATACAGACATGTTAGATACAGATGTTTTAGATACAGACATGTTGGATATAGACATGTTAGATACAGATGTGTTACATACAAATATGTTAGATATAGACATGTTAGATTTAGATACAGACATGTTAGATACAGGTGATTTAGATACAGACATGTTAGATACAGACATGTTAGATACAGACATGTTAGATGTAGACATGTTAGATATAGATATATGTTATATACAGACATGTTAGATATAGATATATGTTATATACAGACATGTTAGATATAGATATATGTTAGATATAGATATATGTTAGATACAGACATGTTAGATACAGACATGTTAGACACAGGTAATTTAGATACTGACTCGTTAGATACAAATGTTTTAGATACAGACATGTTAGATACAGACATGTTAGATACAGATGTTTTAGATACAGACATGTTGGATATAGACATGTTAGATACAGATGTGTTACATACAAATATGTTAGATATAGACATGTTAGATTTAGATACAGACATGTTAGATACAGGTGAGATTTAGATACAGACATGTTAGATACAGACATGTTAGATACAGACATGTTAGATGTAGACATGTTAGATATAGATATATGTTATATACAGACATGTTAGATATAGATATATGTTATATACAGACATGTTAGATATAGATATATGTTAGATATAGATATATGTTAGATACAGACATGTTAGATACAGACATGTTAGACACAGGTAATTTAGATACTGACTCGTTAGATACAAATGTTTTAGATACAGACATGTTAGATACAGACATGTTAGATACAGATGTTTTAGATACAGACATGTTGGATATAGACATGTTAGATACAGATGTGTTACATACAAATATGTTAGATATAGACATGTTAGATTTAGATACAGACATGTTAGATACAGGTGAGATTTAGATACAGACATGTTAGATACAGACATGTTAGATACAGACATGTTAGATATAGATACGTTGGATACAGATATGTTTGTACTTTAAACTTTAAAAAACACAATTGATGTCTGTAGAAACAACCTTTGCCACACACTCTAAAAAGTATTTTCAACAAGTTCTACTCGGTTGTGTTCTTCCTGTTGTCTCTGTTTGTGGTGATGGGTGATTGGAGGGCGGTCCTGGAAGCTCCTACTGTTTTATTTTCTTTCTGTTATTTCTGTCTGTGCAGGTGGTTGGAGGGTGTCACTGGTAGTTTCCGTTTCGTTTCCTTCTGTCTCTTGTTCTTGTCTGTCTTACTTTTTCTTTCCTTGCAGTCTCTGGTTTTTTTCTGGACTAAATGGGGGTTATTGTGTGAATGTGCTCCTCTTTCCTAAAAAAAAGGGTTTTGTTTTGGGGTTTCCGACAAGTTTGTGGCTAAATGGGGGTTATTGTGTGAATGTGCTCCTCTTTCCTAAAAAAAAGGGTTTTGTTTTGGGGTTTCCGACAAGTTTGTGGATGGTTGGCAGGTGCTCTGGTGTGGCATCTTTTCTTTGCATGTTGCTCTCTTGTAACGTCTCTAATCTTTGCCACGTGGGTGTTTGGCTGGTGTTCTGGTGAGGTTTGCTTCTTCTTTCCTATCAAACGTCTATCGTCCTGATCTCTCCTCCTTTTTTGTTTGTTACTCTCTTGTAAAACTTCTAATCTCCGGCATTTATACGACCTTATTGTGTCGCAAGTGCCTAAAACTCTTACTAACACAAACAAACCTTTGGCACTTATATGGCATATTTGTGTTGCAATTGCTGTAAAACTCTCACAAAGTGGTTGGTTGGAGGGTGCTCTTGTGTGGTTTGCTCTTCCTTTCTTATAAAATATCTACCGTCCTTATCACTCCTTCTTTTTTTGTGTTTGTTACTCCCTTGTAACATCTTTCGTCTCCGGCACTTGTATGACCTTGTTGTAACATCTTTCGTCTCCGGCACTTGTATGACCTTGTTGTAACATCTTTCGTCTCCGGCACTTGTATGCCCTTGTTGTAACATCTTTTGTCTCCGGCACTTGTATGACCTTGTTGTGTTGCAATTGCCGTATAACTCTCACAAAAAGTAGAATCAGTTAAGGACATAATGTTTCAATGTCTGTTCTCTGGTCCGGGTTTCAGAAACGGACCCTGTGACCGCCCCACTGGTCTCCTCCATCCTGCGATTCTTCACGGAGATAAGCTCGGAGCTTGAGCTCAAGGACTGGCTGGGCCGGGCGGAGGGCAACGCCTTCTGGTCGCAGCTGCTCACCTTGCTGTGTGGCTCGCAGTTCCAACCCCCAGCTCTCATTGCTGTCTCACAGTCTGCCGACAGAGCCTCTGTGAGTCTGCTCGTTTATTGATTGATTGATCGATAGATAGGTTGATTGCATGATTGTTAGATTGAATGATTGATTCATTCATGGACAGATTGATTTATCTAACGATTAATTTATTCTTTGATATAATCATTGGTTTATTTCTTTATAGATTGATTATAAGTGTTTGATGCCCTTTTCTTTCCCTCTATTGTTTCTGTCTATCTTGCTTTTCCCCTGCGTGAAGTGACTATTATTGTGTCAGCGTGCTTCTCTTTACGGAAACAAACAAGTGGAAGGTACAAATTGCAGATCAGGTAAGTCTGAAATTCTGACGTTCAAGGGAAAACGGCGTGCAAGTAGGGCCTACCAGCATGCCACAGAATGGGTGTTTATGTGATTTGTGCCAACCTCTCACTTGCACAACAGTGACGTATGGGTGTTTATGTGATTTGTGCCAACCTCTCACTTGCACAACAGTGACGTATGGGTGTTTATGTGATTTGGGCCAACCTTTCACTTGCACATCAGTAACATATGATGAAAGATGGTTTCCAAGCAATATTTACATACAAAAATAAAGCTTGACCATATGTGGGATTTACATGTTTTGTGGCTGTAACGGTGGAAGCATGAGGT